CCCCCCTAGCCAGCCCCCAGACTGACAGCAGCTGAGCCCGCCCTCCCGTGGCGTCACTTCCGCCGGCGGCCCCCGGCCCCTCCTTGCGCTCGGTCTCTGGAGCCGCCCCGACTCCGCCCCCTGGCGATTGGAACGCGGGTCACGTAGCAACGCGGGGGAGAAAGGGAGAGGGGCGTGGCCCGGGGGGGCGCCGGGCGCTCACCCAATCAGCGCACTGGGGGCCGCCGCCGGCCGCTCGGCTTTAGCAACGTCGTTAGCAACACGTGGGGCGGGAGGAAGCGGCGGGCGGAGGGAGGCGGGCGCAGGAGCGGGGGCGAGGGGCGGGCGGCGAAGGGGGGGGAGGAGAACTGACGTCAGCGCGAGAGTATTATGGTCTGTTGTGCGCTGGCTGCTGCTTTCTGCTCCTGGAAGCGGCCTAGGGGGGAAACGGCGAGTCAACATGGAGCTTTCGGCGGTGGGGGAGCGGGTGTTCGCGGCCGAGGCCCTCCTGAAGCGGCGCATACGGAAAGTAGGTGCCCCGGGCCGAGCCCGGCCGGGCCCTCCCCTCCCGGCCCGGGTTCCCTCCCCCTGCTGCAGCCCAGCTTCCCTTCCCCCAGGTCCCAGCAGCGGCCGCGGCCGTGGCGGCGGAGGACACGGCGGCGGCGGCCCTGAGCCCAAGCGCTTTCCTTAGACTTGCAGCGATGCATAGATTGCATGGGTGGGGGGCGGGGTGGGGGTGAGTGCCGGTGCACGCACTTTGTGCAGGTTCCGTGCAGGGGTGATGCGGTGGGCGCGTGCCTTTTGCGAAGGGATTTCGTGCATTCATTTCGTGCATGCATTTTCTGCATGGATTTCTTGTGCCCTCATCATGCATTTCTCCCCGTGCACACACACATCTTTCCCTTTGCATCCGCAGGGACGCATGGAATACCTCGTGAAATGGAAGGGCTGGTCGCAGAAGTAAGTAGGTTACGTGCAATCCTCCGCCCCAGACTGTTATTCGGGAGGCTCCTTTCTTCCTCTTTTCCCCTCTACATTGAGACACAATACAATACAGCAAGAAAAGTTACGCACACGCCGCTCTCCCCCTGCTCCGGGGACTGATGCCCCTTCTTCCTGATTCCCTGCAGGTACAGCACGTGGGAGCCGGAGGAGAACATCCTGGACGCCCGCCTGCTCGCAGCCTTTGAGGAAAGGTACAGGCCTTCCCCTCCCGCTGCTCACTTAGAAGCAGTGGGCCTGGCCTCGAGCCAGCCTGAACTCCTGGAGCCCCACTGGGGTTCTTTGCTCACACACCCCTTCCTCCCGTTTCTTCTCTGCAGGGAACGAGAGATGGAGCTCTACGGCCCCAAAAAGCGAGGACCCAAGCCCAAGACCTTCCTCCTCAAGGTAGGATGGCCGTGTCCAGTGGTGGACACGGGTGTTGCAGAGTCGTCTGTGCAGAGGGGCCCTGAGGGTTGGGAACCAATGGAGGTGTCCACAGGCACTGCCTGTTTATAATCCAGGAGGGAGTCCCCTGACAAGATGTCACCAAATCAGTGGCAGCGGTGTCTTGAGGGGAGGGGCTTAGCCACACTAGCATTCCTTACCCTCCCAGACACCCCTAAGTCGACACAGAATCCTATACACGAAGTGTGCTTGCAGCAAAGGGCTATTTCCGGGCAAATGCTCTACCCCACCCCCCAGACTGCCACCCTAAAGCAGCAGCCTCCCCACGCCCGTAGAGACACTCCTAGGTATGGAGGGTGCAAGGGGGAGGCCAGAGCCGGAGAAAGGGTCCTGGAGGGCAGGGCCCTGCTCCGTTCTTGACACGGCCTTCTCTCCTGCAGGCCCAGGCCAAGGCAAAGGCCAAAACTTACGAGTTCCGAAGTGACTCCACCCGGGGCATCCGGATCCCCTACCCCGGCCGCTCGCCCCAGGACCTGGCCTCCACCTCCCGGGCCCGCGAGGGCCTTCGGAACATGGGTCTGTCCCCGCCAGGGAGCAGCAGCAGCACGAGCAGCACCTGCCGAGCGGAGCCGCCTCGGGACAGGGAGCGGGAGCGCGAGAGAGAGCGGGAGCGCGAACGGGAACGTGACCGCGAGCGGGAGCGGGGCGCCGGCCGCGCCGACGACAAGCCCAGCTCGCCCGGCGACAGCTCCAAGAAGCGAGGCCCCAAGCCCCGGAAGGAGCTCCTGGACCCTTCGCAGAGGCCGCTGGGAGAACCCAGTGACGGCCTTGGAGAGTACCTCAAGAGCAGGAAGCTGGACGACGCCCCTTCCGGGGCAGGAAAGTTCCCAGCGGGCCACAGCGTGATCCAGCTGGCCCGCAGGCAGGACTCGGACCTGGCCCAGTGCGGAGTGGCCAGCCCCAGCGCCGCGGAGGCGACAGGCAAGCTGGCCGTGGACACCTTCCCAGCCAGAGTCATAAAGCACAGGGCTGCCTTCCTGGAGGCCAAAGGCCAGGGCGCCCTGGACCCTGGTGGCCCCCGAGTCAGGCATGGCTCAGGCACCCCTGGCTCCGTGGGGAGCCTGTACCGGGACATGGGGGCTCAAGGGGGAAGGCCCTCCCTCATTGCCAGGATCCCAGTGGCCAGAATCCTGGGGGACCCCGAGGAAGAGTCCTGGAGCCCGTCTCTGACCAACCTAGAGAAGGTGGTGGTTACCGATGTGACCTCAAACTTTTTGACCGTCACCATTAAGGAAAGTAACACGGACCAAGGCTTTTTTAAAGAGAAGAGATGAAATGCGGGGTGGGTGAGCCCAGGAGCAGCGAGGACGAGGGCAAGGCAGCGCTCCAACTCGACATAGTGCTTTTTATTTCTGGGTGGGATGCGGCCTTCTGGCTGGTCCTGCCCCTAACGTCACACACCCTGGCCCCTTCTTATCCCTCCCCCACCCCCACCCCCAGTTTCGTTGGAAAGATTATCTCTAGAGTTATATTTTCTATTAGATGTAAATATGTTATTTAAGAAAAAAATCTAAATATATATATTTCAACTCTTGAAGTTGTTTTATTTAAACAAGGAGAGAGAGAGAGTCCATGTGGTTTAGTTGGGGGCAGACAGGCTGAGCTGGGGCAGCAGGGCCCCTCAGCACCCAGGGTACTAGGAAGGTTAGGGACCTGGGCCTACCAGTCCTGGGCACTGGGTCTCTCAGGGTGTCTGCAGGGACTCAGCCTGCCCAGCATCCCCTCCCCCTCTCCCACGCCAGACCCCTGGAAGCAAGGCAGGGCCCGATTTCTTCTCTCCTCCCCATTGGCCAGGCAGGCCAACAAAAGGTTGGCTCCCCAATCAGAAAAAGGGGGGTGGGGTCAGTTCTGTTTTTCTGTTCTGTTCTTTCCTTTTTGAGATTAAGAAGTCTATTAGGACAAAAAGTTCTAACTTGAGGAACCTTTTTTTGTGTGTGATGTTGAAAGTTCAAAGTCGCAGGTGGGTGGGAGCAGGCGGCTTCCTCCAGGACCACCCGCCCGAAAAGCACTTTATGGAGAGGTGCGTGAGTTGTACACGCAGCGTGTGTGTACGTCACGTGGAGAAAGCGCCCCGTGTCCTCGGTTCCTTGCCTTACTCCACAGAAAGAAAAGAAACGCAGCGAATCTGTTTACATACCCGAAATGCCAGGATAAATTAGGAGGATTGCATGTCCGTGCCGGAGTTCCGGACAGTTGTTTCACAAGAAAAGTGTTTGGGGTGGACTTTTTGCTTGTCTCGTCATCTAGCTTCCCCAGGAGAGGGGACGGTGGCCCCCACCTCCCAGGAGGAGTTGGACCAGGCGCTCTCCCTCTGGGGAGGGCGGCCTGCCAGCTCTCTGATGGACGGACACACGGCCAGACAGGCCCACCCGGCGGGACCCGCGAGGGCGGCGCGGCGGCGGGCCGGCTGGGAGGCCGGGGAGGGTCTGGGCGGGCAGCCGGGGAGGACCCGGGGCCCGGCGGGCCGCAGGGACGGAGGGGCGGGCGGTGTGTTCCTCCAAGAATGCGTATCCGAACTTTTGCGTTTTCCTTTTTTTCTCCTTCTTAAAAGCAAAAGCTATAATTTATAGGCCTTTTCGGTTGGCGCAGTGTTCTCTACTTGAACTCTACAGACTCGGCCAAGGGGAGGGAGCCGCGGGAGTGGGGAGAGGGGGCGGCCGGGCGGGGCCGGCGCGGCGGGGCCGAGACGCTGCGCTCCGGGGGCGCAGCCCCGCGCCACTCTTACGACTCAAAAGCACAAATCGGCCCCCGTCCCGGGGAGGGCTGATCCCAGGCCTCCCAGGCCTTAAAGGGCCAGCAAGGAGCTCACCTCCCTCGGCTCATAGACAGGGGACGGGCCCTGAGCGCTGGGCCAAGCACAGAGTGGGCGAGCCAGGCGGGGAGCAGGGCTGGGGGCTGGCGGGGGCAGGGCGGGGAGCCCTGGCCTCGACCTCCCTGGCTGCCCACCTCCTGCTTCTTGCCTCTCTCTTTTCTCCAAACTTTCTTACCTTTAAAGAGAGAGAGAGAGAGGAAAACGGTGTAATAAATGATTTTGTTTGTTTTTGAATATCAAGTTGCACCTATAAAGAGAAGCCCCGGAATGGGGAATTTTACCTGCTCACATTTGTAAAACTGGTATTTTAGACTTTGTATAAAGCAGCGCCGTTGACCGAGTGTATCTACTTAACATGTCGACGCTATTTTCAGATGACACTTAATTGAAGGGACATGTCTGTCGCTGAGTGGACGGTAACTCGGGGACACTTGTCTTTACCTGGCTGCCGGCTTCTCCTCCCAGCCTTCCTCGCTCCCTCCCACCTTCCCCCTTCCTCTTCCCGACTTTGTCCCTTCCCTCCGACTTCTCTGTCGCCGGCCCGGCTCTGCCCCACCACCCCTGCGTCCTGCCGTCTGTCCGTGGCCGTGCGTGTGTGTCTCCCTTGCTCGCTCTTGCAACGCAGACCTGGGGGGTGGGTGGGCAGGGGCGGGGGCCACCTGGCTGGGAGTCTGCAACGACGCGGGGTGTGCGCGTGTCGGGTTTATTAAATTCTAAGATTTGTACAAACCTCGGCTTGGTCTCCGCCTGGGCTCAAGAGTGAAGCTTGGTACCTGTCTTCTGCGGTTGTGAATGTCTGTATCCGCTACCCGCTTTTTACGTGTTTAAATACATACTTTGTAAATAGAGACGCGTCTGGGTTCTATTCTTCTTTTGTGAGCTGAGGGAAGAGCAGTCCCGGGAGGAGAGGCCCCTTTGCTCCTCTCTCATTGCCTCCCCTGTCCCCATCACCCCAGGGTGCTTCCTCCGCAGGCCCTTCCCGACGGAGGGAACCTCGCTTAGGAGAGAGAGAGGTGGGATTGGGAGGGAGGGGTATACGACCTTGTTCAGCCTCCGCGGAGGAGGCCTCTACTTTCCTCACCTGCCGGCTGCACTCCTCTTGGACCCGGGCAGAACTGGGGGACCTCGAGAGATTGCGCATGATTTCGGGGTTCCCCCCTTCCTCAGCGGAAGCCAGTCCCAGCTCGCGCCTGCAGGCTGGCCCCCGCGCACCCCACCCCCAGGCCCGACGCCGGTGGTCCCCAGAATCAGCGCCCCGCAGCCTCGCTGGCCGGGTCCCGGCCCTGCTCCCCAGTGCTGTCGTCCCCCTCTCCCCCGACCCTCCACGCCTCGCGGGCGCTCCCCGAAATGCAGCGCCTCGCGCCTATTGATTGAGGAATTGAATTCGCGGGCATTGCTAGGCAACTGCCTGCTCGGAGCCGGCGCAGAGCGCGCTGATGTGATTAGTGAACCCCGGGCCGCCGCGCCGCAGCCCACGTCCCCCACCGGCCAGCCCCCGCCGCCTCTGGTGCCCTGTCTTCTTGGGGTGCAGACACCCCAGCGTCGGGCGAGGGACAGTCGGAGAGAGCGCGGAGCGCGGGGCGGGGGTCTGGCTTCCCGGCCTTTCTGGCCGCAGACTGTGCAGCAGTCGGGCGGGGCCGCGGGGCCGCGAGGAGAGCCGCCCTCGAAGCCCCAAAGAGGTCATCGAATGAAAGCCAACCCCACCCCCATCTCCTTGCAGGCGTTGTCTGGTGGAGAAGCCCCAATCTTGGCGCAGCCGCCGCGCTCGAGGGGAGGGGCGTGGGCCGCGCTGGGGCGCCGCTCCTGCCCTTAGCCGGGGAGTCCGTGACCCGCCTTGGTCACGCGCTCCCGCCTCCTTCCCCTAGTTCTGTGACCTGCGTGGGAGGGAGGGGGGAACCGCAGGGAGTTGCCTGGAGCCCGGGCTTGGGGCGGCGGGTCACCAGAGATGAGTGCCCTTCGGACGTGAGGGGCCTGCCCCGCGGGGCCAAGCGGGTCGCGGTCCGTCAGGGGTTCAAGGTCCATGCCGGAGCCCCCAGCGCCGCGCCTAATCCCGCCGATTCTGTGCTCGGCTCCTGGGCCGGCGGCAGACTTCTAAGGGCCTGGGGCGGGGGTGGCCCGCCCTGCGGTCCCGGCACCCTGTCGCGTCCTCCACTGGGTGTTTGGGGAGAAGGAGTTAGTCGTGATTTAGGGAGATGGGCGAGTACCGATCCTGCCCCCTTTTCTAGCTCGCTGGCCATCACCAACCTCCCCTTTGCCCAGGAGCTTCTCTCCCGGTTTCTGTTTCCTGGGCAGAGTGTCCGGGAAAGCGGACACCACGTGTGGACGCTGCGCCACGCGGTGCCGCCTCGGCCGGGGCTGGCTTCCCAGCATGGTGCCGCGGTGCCCCCAGCGAGCCTCGACGGCCCGAGGGCAGGGCTGCCTCTGCGGCCTCCGCCAGCGCAGCGCGGACCCTGGCGCAGCACAGACACTGGCCGACTTGGAATCTTGGGGGCTCTCCGGTGCGAGTCGAGTCGGGACGGATCCATTTTTTCTGTTCCTTTGTTTCCGGTCCTGGGCCAGGCCCTGCGCTGCGCGGGACGGCGATCAGGCCTGCCCCAGCCCTCTGCGGCTCACACTCGATTTCCTCTTCTCCCCAACAAGCCTCCCAGGCCTAGAGGGGGCTCAGACCGAGCCCGTTCCTAGGTGGGGGCGGCTCAGTGGCCGGCGGGGCACCACGCCGCCTGCAGCCTCGGGGCCTGCATACCGGGACTGTGGACTGGGGCCGGGCTCTGTTTCCGAGACTTCCAAGCACTCGGCAGCAAAGGCCGAGTGGGGTGGTGCAATTCCGTTCCCGAGCAGCTCGGAGCTGGGGTGAGGATTTCCCCCGCGCCTCCTAAGCGCCAGCGGCCAGGAGCTTCGCGGGACGCGCGCGCCCTCTGGAGGCGGCGGCGGCCTCAGCCCCTCTCCCCGGCGCCCACCCCCTCCCGGGTCTGGCCTAGGGAGGCCGGTGCCTTTATGGGGTCCGAAAGAAGCAGAGAAAGCCTCATCGCCCCCGCTGAAGGGGACCACTGGGGTGGGCCGCCGTGGGCGCCCCCTTTGCGCCCTCCCTGAGGCCGGGACCTGGGGCTGCGAGGGATGGAGGGCGGGGAAGGTGGTGTCCAGCCGTCCGGGTGCCGGCCCTCGGAGCCCGGCCGCGCTGCTTGCTCCAGGCGCCCTCGGGCTGTAAGGGGCGCCGCGGAGCCGAGCCCGGGGAGGCTGCCACGCAGGGCGGGACGTGGCGGACTCGGGGTCGGGCCTCCTGGCAGCCCAGCCTGTTCTCCCGGGAAGGCTGCGGGTTAGACGAGCAGACCAGCAGCGCAGGAACTAACAAAGGCCCGTGTGAGGTCGAGCCGAGTGGGAAAAGGGCTTGCGGGAAAGCCTGGCTCTCGCGCGATGAGGAGCAGCGACCCCTTTTCCCGCTGCCCATTCCTTCTTGGCCATCCCAACCCCTTCCTGCAGCTCTCAAAAGCCGGAGAACAGGACTGCTTAGGGTCGCCTGTGCCCAGTGTCTCCAAAACAGAACAGCGAGAGCCAGCCCAAAGCTGGCAACAAAAGAAAACCCACTGGAAGCCCTTCCTGCAGGACTGATTTCAAATCCGCAGGCCTTTTCTGGAGCGGGGTGGTGCTGGGGGTTGCATTTCTGTTTGTAGCGGGAACCTCCTCCTGGAGGGAAGCATTCAGGCCTTCGCCCCAACTAGCCTTTCAGCCAATGGCAACCGCCATCCAGGCCCAACTTCCCTCTTCACTTCAAAGGAAGCTGGATCCTCCCTGGAGGCTGAAATTTATGAATAAATTCATGCTGAGGGTAATGCAAACCTTAAAGGACCAGGGAAGGTTATATAATAAGCAAATCATCTCTTTATTATGAGCCATGGGTTCAGAGTAGCGCAGTAGCGCCGCTGACTCAAAGCTTCTTGCGATTCATAGCAACTCCCCTGGAATTTTATAGCTTTGTCCTCTGAAAATGTTACCACATGTGGTGGATTCCAGGGGTCGAGGAGCTTTCCAACATAGCATCTTTTAGGGAGTGGTGGGAGGGGACAATTTTGTTTTAACCTTAAATACCACCTTCTGGGAGAGAGTGTCTCAGCGTTTTGTGGATTGCAGCATCCCTGGCCTCTACCCTCCAGATGCCAGCAGCACCACACACACACCCCGCCCCCCGCCCCCAGTTCAGTGTGATCGCTTGTTTTCTCCATCTCTCTGGTTAAAGCAGGGGTTTCTCCACTTTGACACTAACAACACCCAGAGCAGGATGCTTCTTTGTGGTGGGGGGCTGTCCTGGCCATTGTAGGATGTTCCACAGCACCCCTGGCCTCTACCCACCAGAAGCTAGGAACGCCCCCTTCCCCCAACCCCATAACCACCACAAAAATGTCTCCAGAAATTGTCTGATGTTCCCTGGGGTCCCAAATCACCTCGAGAACCACCGGTGTGGGGAACTCACTTCTACAGTCAACCCACCTCTTTGTTTAGAAAACCATCTTTCCACACCCCAGGAAAAGTGGCTAAGACTTTCCCAAAGCCTTGGACCCTCTCCCCCCTCCCCTCCCCCGCCCACCATTTAGCCCAGGTCTAGATGCGAATTTTGCCTCAAGAAAGGGAAAGTGTTTTGCTTTCAGGTTATCACTCACGATGCATACAAGCCAAAAAGTTTAAAAAAATATTTATTGATATACTAAGAGTTAACAAAAAGATAACTTCTGACACCGCCTGCTACCATCTTTCCCCACAAAATAAATTAACCTCCGTCTAAAGAAGTCTGCAACCTACGCTAGTGTTAGTTCTTCAAAAATACTAGAAAACCCGGAATCAGGAGACAGACTAGAGGGAAATCTGGTCACCCAGGCACAAAGCTTCCCCTCCTCCCACCCGCTCCCTCAACCGTGGCGGGCTTCCTGGGGGAGGCACTTCCTTTGACAGGGCTGGGCTGCTGTCCTGTTGCAGCAAAGATCTTAAGCTTTCCCAGGGCACTAACACATCCACTTTTGTTCTTTTTCTGAAGAAAGCAAACAAACAGCCATAGTTTAAAGCAATTAGAAGTGGCATACATGAATGATTTGGCTTTTTCTTTAATTAAAAAACACAAATCAAGCCAGTGATTGGCACTGGTCCAAAGCTCTGTCCTCCACCCTCCCCCGATTTCTCCCCTAATGAAACCCCCGGCCCAGTCTTCTCCAGTTGGGTCAGAATCGAGTGCAACCAAAAAAAAAAAAAAAAAAAAAAACAAAACAAAAACAAAAACAAACACTCTTTTTGGTACAAAAAGTGTATATAAAAATATGCTAAGAACTCTGCGGAAGAGGACAGGCTGGCCACATCTTCCCACCCAATACAGAAGCAAACAAAAAGGCAGGATTCAAACATCCCTTCAATATACAAACACTGTGAGAGAGTTCACTTAGGAGAAACCCTTAGGAATAAAGAAACAATGAATTGTCCAGACATGTGGTCAATGCCTAGCTACACACACACACACACACACACACTTGCGCAAATAGCAGCAAATAAAAATATAACACGTACTATTTTTATTTATTGGTAAACATAAGACAACCGACTCTGAGCACCTGGTCCAATTGTTCAGCAAAGGCTCTCACACCTGCACACATGCACACACATTTCCAACATGAACTGCTGGGAATCACGACACCAGGAAAAACACACAACACAGCAAGGCAAAGTGGCTGGGAGTAAGGTGTTTGCAGATTCAAACTTTGGGATTGAAGTAGCTGGTCAACAGAAAGGCACCAAATGGGGTTTGGAGAGAAGACCTAGCTGCTGGAGACAGCCCCTCCAACCCAGGGGTAGACACCCCCTATTTCTAACAGCCCTTGGCACCCCAGGGCCAACACAACGACTTGGAGCAGAGAGCTGCCCTTGACCTGGCCCCTCCCAGAGCAGTCCAGCGCCAGGCAGGAAAGTTGGCTTGAGAAGGGGGCATCCCAGAGAAGCCCCTTTAGTCCCACAGAGGGGGTTGGCTCTGTCTGAGGGGCAGGAGGGGAAGTGGGCACCAGTGGCCCAGCCCCAGTGGGGATCCACTCCTCCCAGGCTGTGCAGTGAGCTGGCACCTCCTCCTTCCCCATGGGGTGATTCTTCCCCTTCCTGAACCGTCCCAGCTCTAGCCTGTCATGGGACTCAGACCCCGACTAAGGAGGGTAGCATGCTTGCTGAAGCCTGTGCAGGGGGCTGCATCTGGGCGGTCCTTCCCACAGCTTCTCAACAGCAGCGGGAATTGGTCCGCCCCCAAAGGCACACTGCTGACGTCAATTTGGCTACACAAAGGCTATCTCTTCCTATTTGGTGTGTAGGGTGAGGCGCTGGGGGGGCTCGCAGGCCTGCCGCCCAGATACCAGAGCCCTGAGTCCAGGCTAGTTTATTCAAGGACGGCCCATTCACCAGCCCATCCCCAGAGTCTAGGCCACTCTGTGATAAAAAGGAAGAGCCCCACATCGGCCCCTGACTTCAGCCACTAACCCAAACAGAAGCAGGTGGACAGCCCCCCTTTTCTTTTTGGCATCACCAGAACCCAGTGACCTGAGTGCCTGCCAGAACAAGTTAAGCAACCTGTCACCTGCTGTGGGGCCCACCGGCTATCCCACACGCCTGCCCCAAAACACTGGTCAGGAATTGCAGACAGCCCCTAAACTGGCCATTGAAAGGGGAAGGGGGCTCAACACCTTGAGCATCTGTCTGCCTCCAGGGGAGAAGGGATGCGGATCGGGTCGCCGTCCCACCCTGCCCTCTGCCAGAGGGCCACTCAGACTTGTCCTGCTCCCCAAAAGGGCACAGGAGCAGGGCATGGAACCCCCAAACGCGGGGTGGATTGTCAGGGAAAGCTAGCACCCAGGCAGCGGCCCTGTGTGGACAGGTGGGACTGCAGCAAACACCTGCGCACAGCTGGAAGTGAGCTCTTGGTGGTCAGGCAGGGGCACCTCCAGAGAGGCATTCCCGCAGACTGGACTAAGGCGGCCCTTTGTTCCCACAGGGCAGAGCTCTGGAGGAGAGGGCTTGCCAAGGGCCCCACTCCCATAGCACATCCCCCTTCCCCCGAGCACCTTGATTTCCAGTTTCTCTCCAGCAGCCACCAGCTCCAGGCCTGGTGCGTCCATTTTCTCCCCCGGCTCCTCATTCCCTAAAAGTTCAAGCAGCTAGACTTCTTCAGAAATCGGGTGGACGCACTCTGGATGGGGGCGTGGGGTCTGGACATGGGCCAACAGAGAATACAGCAGGGGAAGACACCCTGCTCCCCAAACCTGCAGGGCTCCTCAGGGGGGCGTGAGTTCAGGGCCAGTCCTGCCCCCACCCCATGTGGGACCTTTGGGCTAACTGGGCTGCAGGACCTTGAAAACCCTATGGAGCGGTTCTACTTTTCACACACGGGGGTTGTCATGTGTCAGAACCGACTGGGCAGCAACTAACCCCACGAGGGCTGGATGGAGCTAAAGGCCTGCTGTCTAAGGTTCCCGATCATGCCCTGGACAAATGACACCATCTGTCCTTTTAAGGCCACAACTCCCAGCTGCCAGGGGCGGGGGCAGGGACACCGAACTTCCCACCTCACCCTCTGGGACTCAAGCACTGCTCTGAAGGGGCGGTTCCGGCACCTTCCCTGTTCCACTCATGTTCTCGAGTGGGTGCTAGACAGCGCCCCCCTTGAGTGGCCCAGGACACCATGCCCCCCGATACTGTCCTCCCCTCTGGGAAACTGGGAGGGAAGTTCACTGCAGCTTTGGTTCTGTCACTGCAGGCCAGGAGGGGCGGTTCAAACACAAGCGTGAGCTGGAGGGGCTTAGCCTGCTCTTCTGCAGGGTGGTCAGCTTGAGCCACAGGGGGCCACCCAAATTTCCTGAGGTGAACTGGGAAAGCCCAGCAAAGGCCCAAGGAGGTAGGAACACAGGAAACTTGGCCCAGCCGGGTGTGAAGGGACGGTTCTCTGCCCCAAGTCACAGCGCAGGGCAGGGTTTGGGGGTACGAGAGGAAGAAGCTCCTTTCAAGCCTGCCCTAAAGACCACCCGCCTTCTAACCCCAACCCAGCCCCCTGAACAGGGTTTGGGCCGAGTGGGAAAAGTGGGTGATGAGACCCCACAGCTGGGCAGGTGAGGGGGGCCACGGGGAGGGGCTTCAGTAAGGTCTCAGGTTGAAGAAGCCCACGCTGGTGGGGGACTCCTTCACTGTAACTGTGATGAGGTTGGCAGTGACGTCGGTGACAAAGACGTGCTCGATGAGGCTGCGAGGTGGCTTCCAGTCCTGGCTGGTCTGCACCGAGACGGACAGGTTCTGCCCAGCGCCCGGAAGTGGGGCCGAGTCGGGGTCCGAGTCGGAGCTGCTGTTCTCCTCGCCCGTGCTCATCTCGGACAGCGCCGGCGCCTTGTGGGTGTCCCCCGAGGCAGCGCGGCCCTCCTGCCCGCCCAGGGGCCCACTGCTCTTGCCACAGTCTCGCTTGCCCGAAGCGGTGGGAAGGGCCACCGCCAGCGAGGCCAACTTCTCGCTTTTGCTGGGGTTAGAGGGCACGCTGGACCCGCTCCCCCCAGTGGGGCCACCCCCAGCGCCCTTCCCTGCGGCCGGATGGGTGGCGGGGATACCCTTGGTGGCTGTGGCGTGACGCGCGAGCACGCCAACCCCCGCGGTGCCATTCTTGACACTCTGAAGGTCCAAGACCTGGAGGCTCAGCTCCTGGTTGGGTGTGGGCTGGGGGCCTAGGCAGCCCGCAGGGATCTTGCTGCCGCCCTGGATGTGTGGGGCTCCCGCTGCGCTCCCCCCTTTCTGCTCTGCAGCCCCGCTACCAGGGGCCTTCGGAACTTTGCTTCCTGGGGGGCTGAGCCCCAGCTCCCCCTTCGGCGTCCTCACCTTCAGGTCAAGCCCGAGGCTGCACTTGCCGGACGCCTGGGCCTTGAGTGCCAGCCGGCTGGCGGCCTCGGCTTGGCCGTGAGTCACGCGACTCATGTAGTGGACGATGGAGCCCTGCCAGCTGATGCTGCCGCGGCTGGGGCTGCCCGCCACGCCCTTCATCAGGCTGGCCAGGCTCTCCGTGGTGGCTGCGCTGCTGGGGCCTCCGCAGGCCTCCTTGGCGTGGGCCTTCAGGGCTGCCAGACCCGCCGCTGGGGTGCTGAGTGGAGGGGGCAGCTTGCCGGCTGGCGCGCCCAGGTCCTTGCGGGCGGTTTTCAGCACCTTGGCCAGGCTCACGGGCCGCCGGGCAGCCTTCTGCTCCGGGGGCAGCGGCTTGCGGCCGCGCTTCTTGCGGATGGGGTCCTTCAGCTCAGGCTTGGCCACCAAAATCTGGGCCTTCTTCTGGGGCACAGGGTGGCTCTCGCGGCCCCGGGGGCCTCTCTTGGCCTCCAGGTCGCTGTCCTCCTCTTCGTCGGAGGAAGAGGAGGAAGACGTGGAGGAAGAGGAGGAGCTGCTCGATTTGGATTTGGAGGGAGCGTCGGGTTCCTGAGAAGACAAAGGAGGGGTCACCACCTCCACGGCCAGGCACCCCAGGTCCAAGGTGCCACTCGTCCCATGGAGCACCGGGCACCTGGAAGCCGGCCCCCCACCCCATGCTTTCCAGACCATCTTGTTCCAGAAGGGATTTAAAGGGTCCTTGCAGGTTACATGGTGCCCTGGTGGTGCAGCGGTTAAGAGTTCAGTGCTAACCAAAAGCTTGGCAGTTAGAATTTGCCAGCCGCTCCTTGGAAACCCTACGGGGCAGTGCTACTCTGTCCTATGGGGTCGCTATGAGTCGGAACTGACTCGACGGCAACAGGTTTGGTTTTGATTTTTTGGTGCAGATTACATAAAACAAAGTAGAGTGGAAAGAAAAGACAGTCAGTTCATAAAACGAAGTCAGGAAGTCAATCCCACTCCCAGCAGCCCCACCTGACAGGTCTTTCTCCTGTGGAGCCACTGGGTGGGTTTAAACTGCAGACCTTTCTGTTAGCAGCCACGTGCTTCCCTTTATGAAGTCAGCAGTGAGGGTAAGAACATGCACCACCGCAGCTGACAGTCAGTTAGCAGGGGGGATGCAGCTTTAGCTCCTAGCTCCCTAGCAGCCATTGCGAAAAGGGAAACCCAAAGGTGCAAAATCCACACGCCCCACGGAGCAAGGTGTGCAAAGGAAGAGTGTGCACAAGTGCCTTGCCACCTACAACAAGTGCACACCTTGTTCTCCTGTACCAACCTCCCATTTTCACCTCCTACCCCCTTCAGAGCCTTTCAGAACATGGGTGAGCAAACACAGCCACCCCATCCTGGGTCTCCACTCAAATGCTAAATAAGCATATGCCCGTTCCTCCGCTGGATCAGAATCTAAAAGGAGCACTTTGGGTGGTGAGCCAACCCCAGGGGACCCTGCACAGAGCACTCCTGCCTCAGTGGGAGGCCCTCCCTGCCCAGGGCCTGTCTTCCTATAACCTGCCTGCTGCTTCTGTGACACCTCACCCTTACCACCCCAGCCCACGAGAGCCCGCAGCACAGGCTGGCCCAGCCACCTCTCAAAACAGACAGAAATCCCCTCTCCACCAAGTCCTCGGACTCCTGCACCCCTACCGCCCTGCTCAGACGGAAATGGCACAATTACAAAGCCTCGAGCAGACCAGCGACAAGGCTGTAAGGCAGGAGGGTCCTTGCAGCCCTGCGGGAAGGGCAGTGTTTGCAAGAAGCACCTGAGCGCCGGGTCCAGCCTGCGGCTTCAGGGTCAACACCACCAGGTGCGGCAGGCTCCCACGGCACCCTTGAGGAAGGAAGCAAACACCCAGACCCTGCGGCCAACACCTTTCCCCATTCTGCCTGTGAACGGAGGGGGAGCTCCACGAACCCAGGGGTGTCCCTGTGGGGGGTGGGGCACTCACTAGCATAAAAAGGAGGAGTGAAGGGACATTCCTGCGGAGGCATCCATGTAGATGACCCCCGGCCCCTAGCGAGGCCACAGATTTCCCTCTCTCCTCCTCTGAGGTCACTCACTCTTTGGTGTCCCCTGGCTATTCTGTCCACTCACATGTGACCTCAAAAGTGCCTGGCCAGGCCCATGGTGCCAGCCACCAGATTTAAAGTGTGTTCAGAGGTGGGCCTGGCTTGACCAGCTGTGCACTCGCTTCTGTTCTTTTCTGTCCCCCGCAAAGCCACCGGGGGTGAGAAATAGCCAGCGTCGGAGCGGTCTCTGCACGCTAGTACAAAGCAATGCTGACTGGACACCAGACTTAACAGGAAAGCACCTGCGGGCGCGGTCACCACAGGGCCCTAAGGGACAGAGGCCCCCCTACAGGCCCAGGAATTCTGCAGCTCGCTGGCGCCCCCCACTGGCAAAGACTTACAGCGGCAGAAAGGAACTCCAGGCAACTCTGCAAACCCGCCAAGCCCTCCCCATTCCAGAGCCCTCAAACCTTCCGGGGGCTGAGTCAGTGGCCCAGTCCGCCAGCCTGTGGCCGAGCAGCTACCCACCTTGAGCTTGGAGCGCCGGCTGCAGGAGGACATCACGGTGTGCTTCCTAGGTCGGCCCCGCGGCCGCTTGCCTCTCTTACGGTTCTGCACCTCCTTCTCGTGCTCCCTGAAGACACACACAGATCAGGGTGGGAGCCCTCCCTTCGGCCACATGGGGGCCCCAGAGCTGCAAACACCCCACAGCCTGCAGCTCCATCTGCTTGCTTTCCCACAGAACGTACCACCCTTTCACCGCGCTAGCGCGTCCCACTAATAACACACCCAAGCCACAAGCCCCGTTCTCTGCAACGTGGGCCAACGTCACCTTCACATCCTTGTCAGTGAACTTCCACTCGGCAAAGACAAGTCAAAGAAATGAGAGCCTAGGTGGGAAATTAAGGTCTCTAGTTTTCCTGACCCCTCTAAGAATAAGACAAAAGCAAAACCAAACAACACTGGTGTCGAGTAGATCCCGACTCACAGAGACCCTGTAGGACAGAGTAGAGCTGCCCCATAGGGTTTCCAAGGCTGTCCTCTTCATGGAAGCAGACTGCCACATCTTTCTCTGATGGAGCTGCTAGTGGGTTCGAACTGCAGACCTTTCGGTTAGCAGCTGAGTGCTTAACCTCTCCGCTACCAGGGCTCCTCTAAGACAAATCGGTTGCTGTCGAGTTGATTCCGACTCATAGTGACCCTGTAGGACAGAGCAGAACTGCCCCATAGGGTTTGCAAGGAGCGGCTGGTGGATTCGAACTGCCGACTACTTTGTGGTTAGCTGCACAACCAGGGCTCCCCTCTAAGACAACCCGTCCTAATACTAGTCACTTCCTGCACATAGCACGTTTTACACAAGTTCTAGAACATTACAATTAGAAGCCTTTCTAGTCACAGGGTCCAACCTGCTCACTTTAAACATGAGAAGAAGCCCAGGGCAGGGAGATGCCAAAACCCCCCTCTATCAGCAGCACCAAACCCTCACCCAGTCCTTGGAGGACCCGCTCCTGGCTCCAGTCCCATTTCTGCCCTCCGATCTCCCCAGATCCAGTGCTCCTGGCTCATGTTTCTCTCCCTTTTCATTATTTAAAAAAAAATACGTCTCTGTTCCTCAACTCTGCTCGATGGAAGCAATGCACAATCCCAAAGCGGCCAGGGCTCAAAGCTTGGACCATCCACAGAACTCCCTCAGGCAGCCCCCATGGTCCCTGGAGAAAGCTTCTGTCTCACGCGCCCTCCCCCGGGGAAGGGGGTCTACCTGGAGAAGTTTCCCGGTAATTAACATGGGCAAACATCATCTCACGGGGGGCTGGAAGGAAATCTGGAAGAATCCAATTAGTGCAACCTGACGGAGGTCAGGATATAAGAATCCTTGGTCCCAACTAGCATGCTAAGAGACAGCGGTGCATCTGATGGGGTCTCTCCACTAATACAGTGGACTTGTTAACCTGTATGCCAGGTGATCTGAACCTACCACTTTTCTTACATTCAAAGATCACATCCCCATACTAAGCAGATACCAAGCAAATAACCGAAGCTCCTAGTGTCCACCTTTGGGTGGGATGGGACGGAAAGGGCACCTCCTTTCCCAGTCTTTCTCCCATGACCTAATACAGACCACTCCCCAGTTTTTTTAACTCTTACATCTCTGCGTCTCCTAACCGCAGTTCTTATGTGTTGTGCTACCAGTCGAGGACATACCCGCTCTCAGTTAGGAGATGGTCTCGGAGAGAAAGGGACCGCCAGCTCCTGGCGTATAAAGCCGTCCCTCCACCCGCTTCGCCCACTTATCAGACACCAGTTACAAATTAAAGAGAGGACAATAAGGTTGTTCATAAGCTTTTCCAGATGTATAGAAGCATATCATTTAAAATAAATAGATAAATAAAACCAGTTCCCCTGGAGTTGATTTCAACTCATGGGGACCCCATATGTGTCAGAGTAGAACTGTGCTCCACAGGGTTTTCAGGGGCTGATTTTTCGGAAGTAGATCGCCAGGCCTTTCTTCCAAAGCACCTCTGGGTGGACTTGAGCTGCCAACCTTTCAGTTAGTAGCTGAGGGCTGAACGGTCTGCACCACCTCAGGGACTCCCGAGCAAGCACACGCTTAGCTCATTTCCTCTCACCCGGACTCACCACCAAAAACCTACCCCCACATTGTCATAGCTCCTCTGTAAAGACCCAAAATGTCCTGCTACTAGGAGAAAAAAGTGAGCACAGCCAGAGAACCACCCTGCCAGACCGACCCTTGCTGGGAGTGCTTTTGAGCAACTAGTTTACCGACTATCAGCAGGAGGAGGGTGGTAATACTACTACCCGCTTCTTGCCTCCCCTGGCTTGGGGACCTTCCCGCTGGGACGAGGGTATGCTCGTCCGTGCCACCCCCCCCCATTTCCTATCCAGTATCTCAACAAGGCATCTCTCTTAACCCAAGTTTCCTGCCTAAAAACAGAAAAGACATCCAGAATTACAGAAACAAATTTGGCCCTGGGACTCGCAAGAGGGCCCATGGCGCTCACTTGATGCTGTTTTGCAGCCCAGAGGAAAACACACGTGTTGTTCTTGGTACGGAGACCCCAGAAAGGCCTGACTCGAGCCACGGGGCCAGCTCCCTCCCTGAGCCTGCTCAGCATACCCAGCTGGGGAAGAAATCAAGTCTGAGCGCTTTAACCCACGACCCCAGATTTTATCAGTGCTCTTTGCAAGTCACCCAAGGAAAAAGGCCAAGGCAAGAAGCCCGGACCTCTCACCAAGAACGCGCGAAGGTTCACTTCTGCAAGCTGGCCTATGGGAAAGACCAAGAGAAGCACTTGCTCAGTGAATCTGCAGGGCTGCCTGGCCGGGGGAAGGTGGGCAAGGACTGATCTGGGACCTTGGGTAGCTCCGCCTCTACAGGTCATCACAGAGATGGCATCAGATGCCCTGTGACCACCTGCCACGGGACCTCAGCCCACAGCCCAGGACCCCTGGAGGACCAGCACCATGGCACTGGGCAGCCACCGTACCCCCCACCCCCCAACAAGCACACCCCCTCCCTGCGTGTGTGGTGAACTCCCTCACTTCTTCTGGAAGGCCAGGAGCAGCCTCGGGTCCAGGATATTCTCCTCTGGCTCCCAGCTGTTGTGTCTGGAAAAGCAAAGAGGGGGGCTGCGTAAAACACCACGGCTGCTTCCGAAAGGAGGCCGGCGGGCTGGTGGCCAGGACCACTTGTCCTGGGAGGTCTGAACCCTCGTCCAGGGTGAACTCCTGGAAGCTGCAGCCCTTGAAACCCGTACACCCTCAACCTCAAAGCCAAAGGAAAACCGCCATCTCAACCCACCCCCCCACCAATTATAACACGGCCAAAAAGAACTTCGTCCCGCCCCTCCCTCGGGAGGAAAACACATCCCAATAAAATGCAAAGTTGCAGAGGGAATCCCCCCAAACCCTGGCCGGGTGCCAGTGCGGGAAGGCTCGGTTGCGGCCGGGGGCAGGGAGGGGGAGAGGCTGAGGGGCCGAGAAACCACAGTCGGAGATTAAGAACAACAATGTGGCTAAAGAACAAGTGTGTGCGGGCCGGGGACCAGGGCAACCGGGAAGAAAGGGAACGCGGGCCTGAGCGATCAGCTGTGAACAGAAGGAGCCCCTTTCAGGGGTGCCAAAACCCCTCCCTCCCATTAAAAGAAAAGAAAGGGGGGAGAAGAAACCCCACATCCATCAATAGAAAGCTCAGGTTACAGCGGGCAAATATGAACAGCGGGGGGGCCCTCGCGTCCCGCGCTCCCGCCCCCAGGCCGGCCGGGAGGGCGCGCCGGCGGG